CTTCTGCAGAAGAGCAAAAATCAGAGTGTCCTGATGGAAATCCCTTGGGATCAAATCCACAGCCCAACAATTAAACCAAGGAGGCTGGCCCAGACCCAGAAGCTGGGGAGAAAGTCTCCTTCAAAGTTGTGAAGATGTCCTTCACCCCATCACCACAAGAACTGTATTCATGTTCTTTTCCTAGCAGTAATATTCTTAGAAATAGTCAAGACAGAAAAAACAGGTCCTACCTGAACAGGATTGTGAAAAGTACTGTCATTTATATACTGTCTACAGAACTGTGTACAGCTACAGAAACTGTGGGAAGTCCTCAGAAAATGCGAATAGGACAGACTATGCCCTAATAAACCTCCCCTATTCTAACCCTGCCTTAGTGTCTGAAGTCTCTGGAATTGCAAGGTGTTAAGGCTGAATTATAAAATAATTGTTCATTTCCGTGGTGGGTCTGTAGCAGAGGATATATTCTGCTGCAGTGACACAAAAAAGTCCATTATTAATAACAGGAATGTAAATCTGGATAACGACTTGGTCAAGGTTTCAAATGGTTTGTAAACAGGGTCTGCAGCTTGACTCTCCTTGGCCATGTATTTTTTAACCAAGGTATGGGGTTTTTGAGGCATGCCGTAAGAAGAGTTCTGCCCACACTCTTCAAAACTGTATAATGCTCTTCCTCTATTGCTTTCTGGTTTTCAAAGGATGCAACACACATACCCACTTACAGATACATCATGCTCATTTGTTGTCACTGCCATGCACAACATTAGACAGAAAGCGTATCAGCTGTGATTCAGACACTTGACACTTCCCTGTTTGAATGGCTTACCATGAAAAGGATGCATACATTTTCCCATGTGTACACTCGAATATGTAGCCCCACGCATGGCACGCATCAACTTTGTTTGCAACTAGCTTCAATACGCTGATGTTATCTACCTTTTATGGTACAGAGTTCAAGTCCAATAGAAGCAGAACTTCTATCTGGGCTGGAAAAGCTGGGTTCACTGTGACTATACTAACTCCAGTTTATGGACTGAGCTAGCTCAGACATCTCAACATTGCTCTTCACTACACGGCTCAGAAAAGCCGGCTATGTCAGTTTGCCTAAACAATGATGAGGTCATATTTATAACCAGTATAATATGCATCAGCTGGATCATTCATCTCAAATTAAATTTCAGATTTCAGATGAAGAATAATTTGTATGGGAATAGTAGGAGATTAAAACAGTTCATCAGTTTTGTTAATACTGATACAGTACTATTGGAGAAGAGATTGCTGGTTTTTATTATTATTTGTGGAAGATCTGCCCTACTCAGTAAAAAAAAAAAAAGCACATATTCAGGCTATAGCTACATAAGGGTGAAAAAATTAGTCTGCAATTGGGTAGAGTTATTCCACAGTTAGATTCCTATCCTTTCATTAAAAGTAATCTGAGCAGCTAGGCCACCCACTCTACATCTCACAGGGATTTCTGGTGAATTGATTTTTCCTGCAGAGTACTGATTTGCAGTGACTGCACTTATCGTTGTGGCTAATATACTATTACCATCTGGCTGCAAAAGCATCCAAGCGATCCACCGTAAATGCACACGCACTTAAAATAATTACTGTTAATGAGGCTGCCATGGTAGTACACTTTCTAGGATTAGAAATAATTGGTAACACAATCCTTTTTTATGAATACATTATTTAGACTGCAAGCACTCTGGAGTGAGGAAAGTCTTTCTATTGTATTTGTATACAGTACCTCACATACATTGCTAATTCTGCCTGAAAAGCCGTTATCTCAGGATAAGAACCAATGTCCCATCTATATGCAGTAATTTCCTTTTTACCTTAAATGCTCCCTTTTTTCTACAGTAGGGCCAGTTAGAGAACAGTCTGTATATTTCCCAAAACTCACTAACTTTAGATAAGGTGAAAAAAAGGCTATGACCCAAATACAGCAGTGATCAAAAAGTCTTTTCATGAAGCTAGATCAATGATGTGATTAGTTATTCCTTTGAAAATGCATTTTCAATCAGAAATGCTCAGTAATGATTACACTTTTCCCAACAAAATCCGTAGCTGATCTTCTGTAATATAAACCTCTAAGCAGTTTTATTTTGTGGAAACCAGTCAGACCATATTTGTATTTTTCACACAAGTACCAACTTCAAAATAGCCCACATATTTTAATTTTCGGATGAGCAAGGAAACAGGAGGCAGATCAACTCAATAAGCTGTGAAAATTAAGCTGTAAGTTATATGAATACATTACCGTATTTCATCTCGTGCCAGCTAAGGTTCCCATCATACCTGAGTTCTATTCTTTAAAAGATAAAGAGCCACATAAATACAAAGTACTGGAAAATAGATTTTTTTTTTTTGTGATACATGCACATCAATTAATACAATGAAACACCTTATCACCTTGAGAACCTAAAATGAAAAGTTATGTGTCTACATATAATATCCATATAATATGTCAGTCACTTGATTAATGTTCATGTTCTCACTATCCTGGAGTCTTGAAATTTGTGATATCGTATCATTATAGTCTGCTGAGTAGAGGAATAATCTCAGATGAGAAAACTGACTTGTGTGGTACAAGTAGAATAATAGGCTGAAATGTGATGGAAGAGGGCATTCAAATTTCTATAAATGGGATTGAGGGGGAATGAGGATTAACAAGAAATGCTTCTTTATGGTAAGTGACCAGGGAAGGCTTTCGAATTAACAAGAAATTACAGTTATCTGATGCTGCTCCTCTTTGTGAAAATTGAGCTGGTACACCTTCCAGAAACATGGGTATCAAGCACCTGATACAATACTGCCGTAATTTTCTTGGTTACGTGATGCCATCTAGAATATGGGGCAGACAGAATCACCAATCCCATTAAATTTGTATTCCGATAAAAGATGTTTTTGAAAGAAGCAAGCTATAAGAGACACATTTGCCAAGTAGAATGTTCAAAAAATTGGAAATGCCTAGCTGCATTAGGTGAGAACACTGGCCTCCTGCTTCATTCAGCGTGCAACGTAATTAGGGTACATGACTGTCCCACTGCATTTCATTGCAGACGGTCACTTTTTCACAGCAGCTTTATTTCATAATTTGTCCAGTGATTACCCTCAAACATTCATCATGATAAGCAATGAACACTTTATGTGAGGAAGCTTGAAAAAGGTTGAAAAAATCCTGCATAATCAAAGTTGTTGGTGCAAACCTAACATAAGCTTTAGCTAAATGTGTCAATGTTCTGATTTAAATGGTTGCAGGAGAATACAAGTTAATGGCATGAGCTTTCCTACATTGGCTCTTGGTGTAATGCAGTGTTTTGAGCTCTGTGTAAAATAAAAGGTATGAGCCACATCCAGCTCCATCCTTTCCTACTAGCAAGAGTTAACATGGTGGGAATGCAGGGACTGGGAAACAAAAAGAGAACTACAATTTTCTTGAGTTGATGTCGCAAGAGGTCTCTTGCCCACCGGAGCAAGAACTCTCATATATAGTAACTACCGCTTGCTGTCAGTCACACTCCAAACTGCTATAAACTCTTACCATCTACACTGTGTTATGATTTTACTGATTTATAAAGCTCTCTGATGTCTGTGGATTCGAACCACCATGATGTCAGACATGGGCTAAGAAACAATGAGCTGTTCCAAGTAGAGAAGGTCATCATCTCTGCTCAATTAGTTAATCATAGAATCATAGAATCATTAAGGTTGGAAGAGACCTCCAAGATCATCGAGTCCAACCGATAATGTAGGAGTCATACAGAGACAGATAAAGAGATGTGTCTAATAGGTTGATTGCACATATTAGGTTGTAGACTGCAGTCCTTTGAAGATTTTTACAGGTTCCCTATGGAGTTCCAAGGTAGTTTCTAAGGCATTCAGTTCTTCACTGTCCTTTTAACCATGCAATTTCTAACAGAATCCAATGAGCATTTTCCTTGTCAAAAGAGTAAGATCAGGTTATGGTATGTAACTAAAAAGAAGTGGGTAAAATATTATCTATTTGAAGTTTACCTGGTCTGAGCTGACTATGATAGGCTCTCTAAGAACAATCCAGGTGATGCACTCCTCGCAAGGTGGAGTGGTGAAAGACCCATGGTATGTCCAGTAGTCATGAGATTTAGGGAAAAGAACTGAAGGATCAAAGTTTGGAAAAGGAGCTTCTTTCCCCTTTGAAAAAAACACAACAAAGCCAAACAGAAAACTTTTCAACAGCTCTAGTCAAGATCAGGTAAAGATGCAGCTCTGGTATTTTAAGAAACAGAGAGTGACTCTCATACTTCAAAGGTATGAACTAAGGAAACTAAGCACACATCTACACAAGACATAATGATGCAGTGTAAAGGTAAGTGGACTGAATGACTCTCACAGAGAAGCATGACATGACATACAACTCCATGATGCTACTTCTTGTACCTGAGCTAACTCGTGTGAAGCAGCGTCCAGCACCAATGTGCTTCACTCACTTCTGTGCAGAAATACTCTTCCTTCTGGCCTCCCTTCTTATGGAAATTCTGCCTATCTATTGAATATTGGATTAGGTCACCATATAATGAAATGAGACAGGTACTCTAGATTTATAGTATTTGTGCTAATAACAAACAAGACAGCCTATGAAATGTGAGATTCTTACCACATAATGTTATCTGAGACACAGATGCCTAGTCAGTGGCATTTCCAGAGCTCCATTAGGCAGCCTATTTCAAGACCGAATGGACCAATTTCCAAAGGTGCCTTTCTTTTGTCACTGACCACTGAGGGAATAAGACTCCGTACCTAGTTTTTAGGTGAGTAAAGTTTGGCGAGACAACGCTCATTTTCACGAAATTGTAAGGCCCACTAAAGCCAAAGAAGGCTCATATGTAAATGGAAGAAAGGACTTTTCTTGTTAAGGAAAAGCTACCCATGGTTTTATTCACGAGTATAATCTGGCAACGTTGCAGAGCAGAATTTGCAAACTAGAAAGTCATGCCTCTTGATTTTTTTTTGTCCTGAGAATTTGCAGCAATCTTCCTATAATGAGAAGCCCACCATCATTACCTTTGTTTTGATAGCATTTATTTCTTCCAGAATTCTCTTCATCTCTGGTTTGGGCGTTTTCCCTACCTGTAAAGAAGAAAGCATGAGCTAACCAGAGTTCTGCTCTATCGTTTTTTTTCCTTCTCCTATTTTTTTATATGTGCATCTAAACATATATCAACTATAAAATTACAATGCATTAACCCAACCTATCACCCCTGCCAGCTTAGTAAGCTATGTCTTCTGTCTGTACCCTCTGTCTGTACTCCAACAGATATTATGATCCAAATGAGGAAATTATATCAGTATAGAAACTCAGCATCACAGGTAATTTCACAATAGAGCTATTCCTACTGACACTGAATTTTAGCCTAATAAAGATAAACAACTCTTCAGGCTCAAGTACAGAATTTGGAAAAAGTTTCCTTCTAGTTTAAAAACCAGATTTCATGGTCAGATCTACAGGTTGCAATCATTGATCTCAACACAGATGTCCATCTTTCTATCTCTAGTGAATATTAATTAAACAAGAGAGAGCAAAGGCCAGTATTTCAGGCTAAGACTGCATGCCTCCAAAAGGATTTTAAAAAAGGATGAGTTACATTGTCTGTGAGCTAGTTTTGCCTGGGAGAAAGTTCATGAAAAGCCTAGGAGCGGTATCTGTCCTTGAAATCAGTCCATGATTAGCACAGAAGACAGCTGACTGCTATTGGTCAGAGGGCCACTGCTGACACTGTGTCCCCAAAGCAGGGGCAAACACATCTGGTTTTACAGCTTCCACCAGCCACATAGTGACAGAATAGCTGCTGGGACAAGTGTGTGTAGTATTGGGTACCATTTGAAATAACATGACTCATGCTCTATAACTCGAAAAGCATGCATTACTGAAAGTCAAGCCCTTCAACGTGGTACGATCCCTGGAAAATATATTCAGTGGGGTTTGCTTTTTTAACCCTGTAAGAATAGAAAACTCTATAGTAGCAGGACAAAGAAGGGTTACATGCTTCTACTTACTTGCAAAAATATGGCCAAAACAGCTATTCCATCAGTTCTTCTCACAGCATCGAGATAATTACTGTATTTGGGATTCCAGTGTAACAAATGTAGCTGGAAACAGAAAAACATGTAAAAAAAATCCATTATTGAATAGCAAGCCATCAGAGGCTGAATTTAGAGTTCTTCATATACATGAGAGAGCTTGGGACAACAAAGAATGAGGATTAGGCCTTCCAAAATAAAAGGAAAAAAAGGGACAGAAATTCATATGTGAGTTATATCAGCCATATATTACCATTTAGACTACTATTTGCTTTAAAATAAACTATAAACATCTTAATACAGAAATTGCAAAAAAGAACAGAAATCTCATCTTAAAGCTGAAGAACACAGAAAAGATGCTTAAGTAAGCAGGTAGAACATGCAGTTCAGAAGTCATCTACCGATATGTAATTCATATCCATTCGGCTTTCAAACTGCAGCAATTCTAGCAAAGAATCCATATGAATGCAAGCTCTGTATATTATTAGTCTACAGTTCTCATCTTCCCTTACAATCCTAAAGTGGTAGAAAATCAAGGTGACACATTCTTCCTCCTTTCTGTCACTACAATTTCATATTTCTGCTATAATACTGTACTTTCAGGGTACTGTTTAGTAAGTTTGCATTGCTTCTCAGTAATTCAGTCTTGCTGTCCTATGTTTCAAGCCACGTTGGTTTAAGAACATGGAAACTTTTGTTTCACATAGTATTTTTCTTTTCTTATGCTGTGAGAATTACTTCAACCTGATTCACATTTATAAGAATCAATGGGAGTAAGAATAAAAAGTCACAGACAAATAAATAGAAAGAACTCCTTGAAAAGCAGACAAATGATAAATTTTGTCCCACCTGAATGATAATGACTAATGCTATTTTACACCCTATTTTAAAGTAAAAAGTGGTGAGTCTTACCTCTCCTGCATATCTCACTCCATTCACAACATGCTCAGAGCCATGGTCGTCAGACGAACCCCAATGAAAGTGAAGCTGACGCAGCCTATAGACTCCTGGAAGTGGCCCACCTCTCAGCACTGCAATTGATAATCTGCAACAGCATTAGACTCAAGTATCTTCCAATTCTTTTAAAAGAAATATATATATATTTAAACTATTTACATACATATTTATATATTTACTGTACAGATGCTCTACATTCTGAGAGTAGTGAGTACCTCTTGGAAATCTGCACTGATTTCAGCAGCACTTCAGGCAACCATCTTCAGCTATATGCACTTACAGGCAGATGAAAATTATTTGTATCTAGGCTTCCATTATAGTCAATAGAAGTCATTGTTTTAATTCAGCTGCATGAATGTGCATCTAGTACCTTCTGGGATATTCCAAAGACACCTGGACAGGACTGGAAGATGTGATACAAGATCTGCAGAATAACTGTACTTTTCTAAAGCAGTATCAGCAGGCAAGGTGAAATACATTAGATTATCAAAAATGGCATGAGATGGCTATGTTTGGGTAACTGAAGTAAGCCCCTAATCAGAACAGTCAAGCCTCTAGAGCAATTCTGCTTGCCTTAAGGTAGACACTCAACAGATGGTGACCTGAATTGCTCTCTGGACTCCATTGATTAAGTGTGACTCCATCTCTGTTGACTAGAATGGGAGTTTAGAGACATAACCCACCTACTTTTAAAAGCCCACATAAGAAACCTAAATTTAGACATCTTAATCCCCCCCCGAATTCCATCTAATATCTATCTATATCAAAGCACACAAAAATAGCCATGATTAAAATCAACTACTGAAGCGCTAGATGATAAACAAATTCCCACAAAACACTACAAACTGTGTCTCTTACTGCAGGCTATGACTTATTTGTTTAAAAAGCTATGAAATTACTGATGCTGCTTCTGCTATAATGGCTGCTCCCTCCGGCTGTGGAAGAGGAGAAAGAAAACAGCAAATGAGCCAGAAAAGAAATCACTGAGAACGCAAGCTATTTTCCTAAAGAGAAGTTCAGCCTGTGATGAACAATATTGTGTATTCCAAATAATCATAATATTTTTACATTATACACCAAATGAAGGTGGTGTATTTGAAAAGATCTCACAATAAAAAGGGAAGAACTTCTTCACATTCACCAAATACTAGTTAATATTAAATTCTCATTCACTTTATTTGGAGTTAGAAGCTATAGCATTCCTATAAACTATTCAGCAGTTGTCAAGAACAGGCCTTTATATGCAAGAGAAAAATATCTTTAAATCTGAAAAGGAATGAAATCCATTATCTTCTCAAGAAACAAAGTACTAAGAGTATTCTTTACTGAACATTAAGAGCAAGCTGTTATTCTCAACAAATTCCTTTTACTTGTTCCCACAGACATTCAGTAGTGCGGCCAATGCAGACACGGTAACAGTAGTAGCTGACAAGGCCATTAATTCTCCATTAAAATAGATCTGTAAGACCAAAGAATCCAGTTTAAGGTAAAAACGTGTCATTATTTCCACTGATGAGCCATCAGCAGACATTATGATTGGGCGTTAGGTGAAGCTCAGCATCACCTCGTGCCAA